ATTATTATCTAGCTCTTACATCTTAACCCATAGTTCTTATTTATTGTTAGCAATGTAACTTGGTACCTTTTTACAGTGAGGCATTATTGCTTCCTATGCGCCTGGCTGGTGACTGACTCTGGGAAAGAGGCCTTTCCTCTTCCCAGAATTCTCCTGCTTTGGTTGCCCCACCTATACTTTCTGCCTGGCTACGGACCAATCATTATTTTATTAAAGCAATATGAGTGACAAATCTTTACAGTATATAAGAGCATTATCCCACAGCACTATGCATTATTCTAGATGCTTGGAATAAATTAATAAAATTCCTGTTTATGTGCTTATAGTTTAGTAGGTGGAAGTATATAATCAATGATAAACAATAAACTGCAGTAAAAGTGCTTCAATTAGCAGTGAAAATACAGTCATCAGAAGAAGCAAAGAACAGTGGAACAGGAAAAGGAGGCTGGAGTGCTGGGGGTGAGGGTCTGGAAGATGGAATACTAAATAGAAGGGAAGGATGAGCAAAACTCTGAAAAGGGAATTAACTAAGTAAACATCACTGTGAAAAGAAGAAATAGTTCAAGGGAAGTATGGTAGTACTAACTAGGTGATGAGATTCGGGGCTCAGATGGCACTTGCAGACTGGTGAAGGAGTTCAGTTGGTACTGAATAAGCAGGGAGACATCTCAATATTTTGACCTGTGTGGGCTGTGGTTTTAGGGTGCTTGTTCATTTCTGCCCATGGGGCTTGAGTCCAGGGCCTCACACATCTGACTGTGATAACACCATGACCAAGGCAACTTAAGAGTTTGAGTCAACAATAATGGGGAAATAAACCGGGGAGCAGCAGGCATGGTGCCAGGAGCAGGAAGCTGAGATTACATCCCTTACAGAATACAAAAAACAAGGTGGGGAGCTATGGGGAGGGAGGTCAGATGAGCAAACAAACTGAAAGTTGGGTGTGACTATAGTCTCAAAGCTGCCCCTACTGACATACTTCCTCCAGCAAGCTGCCCATGCTAACAAGCCTTTGCCAACTGGGGACCAAGCATTCAAATGCCTAAGCTTAAGCCTCCTCAACATCACAAATCCACTTCTGGTACCAGTTGTTCTAATTTGTGTGTCTCTGTTACTATGACAAAAGAAACTGGCCAAAAGCAACTTTTGGAAAAAAGGGTTCATTTGGCTTATGGGTTACAGGCTTTGTAGTCAGTCATCCGGGGAGAACTTGGAGACAGTAACTGAAGCAGGTATCCTTAGGGAGATGTTGCTTCCTGGTCTCCTCTGCTTGCTTTCTTCTGAACCAAGGGACTACCATGCGCTGGGTCCTCCTACATCACTCATCAGTCAAGGGAATGCCCCCACTACAGTGTAATTTGATGGAGGCAGGCCCTGTTCCATCAGAGTAAAGGGCAGAAGCAGCACACCTGTCAGGACAAGCTGTAGAATGACAATCACCTATCTGGACGCAGCAGTAAAGGAGAAATGATTCCAAGTCTCATGAAATGTCCCAGATTTTAAGAATGTGATCATTTTATAGTTTTATACTTCAGGTGTATCTCCTAATACTTACCTAGTAGATTATAAATAGTCCTTGTGATTATGTAAAAGCGAAGTTAACAGGGGTCATAAGCCTATAATATCCCAAATTCATTAATAAAGGAAAGTGACTTCTCAAGTTAAGCAAGGACATTGCATTTTGAATCTACTACAAATGTGTTCACCTTCTGAGGAACATATCTAAATAAAATAGAATTCCATACATGACGAAGAAAAGATGAACATTTCAAGTAACATAAAATCTGAGCAAAATAGATACTTCTAAGATCCATATGCTGGAGAACCAAAGCCTTGTAAGGATACTTTATTTCGTTAAGAGCAATGCAATCACATCTTAAATTGGGTTGAGTATTTTTAAAGTATATCACCTAGGATACAGCCCATTTTAAAGTTCTATATGATATATATGCACATATATAATCTATCCATGCGTTACAAAAATAGTGACACATTTTCACTTTGTAAAGGTACAGATGATTTTATGTGCTTTCACTTTTAAGGAAAATTCAGTTGTAGCAAGTAAAAGATTGGAGCAAAACAAAACACAGGAGCAACAACAAAACACCCAGACAGGAGATCCTGGCAGCCCACTCATACTCTTAGAAGTCAGTGGCGCCAGACATTCAGGTTCATGCCCACTGTGTTTCAAGAGCTGGTGTTGTCACCCAGGGAGGTGAGGCCATGTCTGTGCATGTGCTCAGGAAAAACCTCACAGTGCTCTATATGACTGGCAGAGAAGAATGTAGGTCCCAGAAGGTGACCCTCTGCTGTAAATGAAGCCACATTTTTTTCCAGTCTGAATAATTGCTTCCAAGTTCACATTTTATGTATCTGAAATAACTAAGCTATTTTAACCTCAGCATCTTCAGACTCAGCAATGTGTGCACATTCTGGTTTCTGATCCTGTTGGGATGATGTTGGCTGGGGTTTGGAGGATGGTATTTTTAAAAATGGAATCGGATTTAAGGTGGAACATTATTATTTATAGTGCTATCATCACGTTTAAAGGAAAATTTCCCATGTTTTGGTGGCTGGTGTTTCCGAGGGTAAAGCTGTAAGAACATATACCAACTGACTGGGAACTCATTGCATAGGAGCAAAGGAGAGTGTGTAAATAAGTTAACGTTTGAACTTTATTTACGTGATTCAGTTTTTAGAAGTTTCATGTTTTCTTCTCTGCTGTCTTGTTCTTCAGCATTGTCTTAGAACGTATGGTTTTCAACCTTTATAGACATTAGTCAGCTGGGGTACTTTCAAAACACAGCCGTAACTAAGGCCTCAGTTCTTGAAACAGACTCATTTGCTCTAGGGTTGGGCTCAGGTATTTTAAAAAGCGACTCGGCATTTTCATGTGCTAAGGTTGAAAACCATGATAGTTTTACATCGGACTAAGTTGATCTACATTCTGGTTCCAGTTCTACTACTTACTGTATTTATAAATCTCCTTTATGAGGAGCTTGGCTTAGAGCTCTATAAAAATTCTTTAACTGTAAGACATTTAAATCAATTGTGACACATATCTCATCTGGTTTGCCCAGCCCCAGCCCCGCGGAAACTAATTTGGATTATGAATCTGGTGGAAGACAGGTGAGCAGGTGTAGTAATCAGCAATCATCATAATGATATTATGAAACAAAACGTAAGCAAACGTTTCCATTTCTTCTTGCCAGTTACAAAGCGTGGAGAAAAACAATACAGAAATTTCAGCTTAGAAACCACAAGAGACATCTAGTGCCGCTTTGTCTGTTCCCAGTTCTCTTAAACTGAGACTAGGCAGAAGGTACCTGGGGAGCAGAGGGAGGAGGGAGAGTTTACTACGCACAAATGCAATACAAACCCCGGAGGCCTGGTACTAAGCAGTGCTAGCATAGAAGGCGTGGTAGAGGTGTACACACACACACACACACACACACACACACACACACACACGCTCGCTCGCACACTCTAACCTTGCCATCCGAAGCACTTGTCTACAGCGGTAAGAGGAGGAAGATGGGGTGATCCGGATCACCCCCCTCTGGCTCGCCCCGCCCCAGGGCGAGCTGTCAGGGCAGCTCTTGGCTTCTTGCTGAGCCCGAGCGGGAGACTCTGGGCCGCGGCCACCTCCCTGCTCCTGGAGCCGGTTTTCCCGGAGCCCATCTCCCAGCTTCTAAACTCAGCTCCTATCTCTCTTCTCTAGAGTGAAGGGCAGGAACGGGCCAAAGAGCCCGACTCCTCGGCCCAAGCTCATCCTCTGGGGAGCAGGTCTGGTCCTTGGCCCCGCGCACCTTCCAGTTGCCTCCTCGCCCGCCCAGCTGTCACCTCCGTCCCCAGCGTCCTCCTTCCAGTGCCTCTCGGGGCGGCCAGCCCAGTTCCCAGAACTTCCGCACCCCCGACCCGGTCCCGGCCCGAGACACTGCCAGCGCTCACCATCCTTTTCTCCCGCAGGCCACTGTGAGGCTCTGTGCCCCTTCCCGGTGCCCGACCCCGCAGGGATACCCACCTGCTCCGGATCATCCCAGTCCCGGGACCCCGCCCCGGAGAGCTCGGGCGCACACGGTCCCCTCAGCGCCAGCCACCCCAGACGCTCGCTCTTCGGCCCCGCCACCCCCAGACCCGCGTCCCATTCCCGACCTTCCCCGGTTCCCTGCCGGTCTGGTCCTTTTTGCAGGGGACTGGGGACGAGCGGCGGGCGAGCGCGGGCCTGGGCGCTCGGGAGGCGCCGCGGGGAGAAGGACGGAGGCGGCGGCGCAGGGAGTGGGCCCGAGCGCCGACTCGGCGGACACGGACACGGTGTGTGTGTGGGGGGGTCGGAACCCCGGGCGAGCGCGTGCCGACCCCGCCGCCCGGGCGAGAGCCCCGGGTCCGGCCGTTGGCGTTGGGGCCCAGGTCCTTAGCTGCAGCCCCGCGCCCCTCGCGCTGCCTTTCCCCGAGGGCTTCTCCCTCGGCGGCCCGGACGGAGCCGGTGACGCGTGCCAGGCGGCGGGACAGCCGCGCCACTGCCTCGCTCCCCTCAGCTCCCCCGGGGTGGAGGGGACACACACACACAAACACACACACACATACACACGCAGGGCGCTGCGCGCGACTTCCCGGGACTCCCCAGGGGGTCGTGCTGGCGGGGTGGCGCTTCTTTCCACCGGCCACTCGCGCCCCAGCCGGCGCGCCGCCCTCCCGCCCGCTCCCTCCAGTCCCCCCCCCCCCCCCCCCAGGGGGTCGTGCTGGCGGGGTGGCGCTTCTTTCCACCGGCCACTCGCGCCCCAGCCGGCGCGCCGCCCTCCCGCCCGCTCCCTCCAGTCACCCCACCCTCCGCCGTCCCCGCCACCTTACTCCAGCGCCCTCCCTCGCCGCTCGGCGCACTCCTCCGCGCTCCCGCGAACCGCTCGCTCACTTGCCAGCCCTTCGCCCCCGGGAAGGAGCCACATTTCCCCGGAGCGCACACGCCTCGGCCCTCCCTCCCCTCCCTCCCTCCTCCCCCCCACCCTACCGCGAGCCTCCCCTCCCCCCGCTTCCTTTCCTGGGGGGGAGGGGGGCTGTCGCCCGCGATTGAAGGCCATTGATTTGTATGTCTTGGTCCCAGCGCCGAGGCTGCCCGAGCCGCCCGCGCCGGAGCCGCCGCTGCCCGCGGAGTTGCCTCCCTGCTTGCCGAGGGTGGTGCGGCTCCAGCCAACATGTCGGCTCCGCTCGGGCCCCGGGGCCGGCCGGTGGCCACCCCGGCGGCCTCGCAGCCTCCTCCGCAGCCCGAGATGCCGGACCTCAGCCACCTCACGGAAGAGGAGCGGAAGATCATCCTGGCCGTCATGGATCGCCAGAAGAAAGAAGAGGAGAAGGAGCAGTCCGTGCTCAAGTAAGGACCGGGCTCCATCTTCCCGCCTCGCGCCCTCCGCCCCCCTCGCGCGGGCCGCTCCCCTGCCGGGCGCGAACGCCGCCTCCCCGCCCGCCCGGGCCACCGCGGCCGCCGGGGTCGCTCGCCGTGGAGTTGTCGGAGCCGCGGGGGGGGTGTGTGTGTCGCGGAGGGCGGGCGCCCGCCGAGCGAGCCCGGGCCGTGGGTCGGTGGCCAGCTCTGGACGCGTCCTTTTCCCCCGGGCGCCCGCCCCGCGGGCCGCTCGGGCTCCGGGGCTGAGGCTGATCCCGGGGCTCCGCGCGCCCCATTTCCTTTCCCGCCGCCCCCGCGCCCAGGCCGGGACTGGGGCACAGAATCCAATATGGCCGTGCACAGGTGCTCCCGGGGCCGACCCGGCTGCCGGCGCCCAGGCCCGCTCGCCCGCCCGCCCTCCCGGGGTGCGAGCTCCCGCCGCAGCCCCTCGGTCCGCGCCGGCCCCAGCCCGGGAAGACGCGCGCGGCCCACATGGGCCGTCAGGAAGGCGGCGGCGGCGGCAGCGGCGGCGCGGGCCAGGGGCCTAAGCGCCGTGGCGTCTCGGGTGGGTGTGCGGCCGCCGCCATCTTCCAGCCCCTCCCCCCCGGCGGGTGCTCGCACCCTGCGCTCGCCCTGCCAGCCTCCCTGCCGGCGACTGCTCCCCCGGCGCGGTCCCCAGCTCGGCAAGTTCTACTCTGTTTGCTCACAGTCCAGCCCGCCCGGATTTGTGTTTTTTGCCGAGGGTGGGAGGCGTGAAAGTAGCAGCCAGACGGCGGTTTCCAGGCGGTGTAACTTCAGCACCAGGGAACTGTCCAGACTGAGTTTCCCTTGGCTTGGGGATCCCTTGTCACTGTAGCAGGGTAGCCGAGATTTGCTGCTGCAGGCTTGCTTTTAAATGTTTTATGGTTTTTGGCATCTCAGTTACTTCGGGAAAGTCACTGTCTAGATGTGTAACCTTTTAATGTTTATCCAAGTCATGTTTTCCATTTTTGCTCGCAACGAGTTACTCACTATATAAATTAAGCTGTGTATGCCTAAAGAGGGACAGTTCTTTTGCAAGTCACGAAATACACTTTCGCATAATCTCTATAGAAACATACAATTAAAAGTGTAGACTTGCTCTGTGGGAAGAAATCGCATACTGACCTCCAGCCACCTGGGTTGAAAACAGGTTGTTGGATTCAGTATTCTTTCACATATGAAAACACATTTTGTCTACGTGTTCATTTTTTCATATTTAATTGAAATATATTTTGCATAGCCTATGGTAACAAAGCTTGTATCAAATAGGTATGTATCTTAGGAAAAGGTGCAGTTTCTCAAAAAATGATGAAGGAAAAAAGAGCAAATGTATTCCTGACATAATTAAAATGAAATTAAGAATTGCTTCTTCAAGATTGACTTTTAGGTTTGAATACTTAAATAATTTAATCAGCTTAAACTATGAAATAATATAGTTATAAAAAGCTTTTTGAGCATACTCATAACCTGGCTCAACTTTAATGTTTATACTAATAGTGTTAAACTTTTGATCATTATAATTTTATATTCAGATATATGAATTTATATTTCTTAACATAGTCAAAATTAGTGTTGCCAAAATGATGTTCAAATAAAATGTGGCTTTATTTCTTTGACCCACATATTATTTAAATGGAATGGGTTTTTATTTATAGTAAATTAAATCATAAAGTTTATTGGCATGTTAATTTCATATAGTCCTATATTTACAGTTTCAAGAAATGGACACTTAATAGAATGTGTGATTGCTGAATTGAAAATTGCTCAAAACGAGCAGTGTATTTTATTACATAGATGTTATTAAAGGATTTTTCAGGCTAACTATTTGTGTGTGCACCTCCAGGTAAACCCACATACTTTGCAAATACATGTGTTTGTCCATTTATTTCACATTGTTTAGGTAGACACATTCTGTAAACATATCCATATAATATGTGAAATCACATCAATGAAAAATATAGATTCAAGTTTAAGTACTTATTTGCATAGCTTTCAATGTGATCTAAAGTACTTCTGAAGTGAGATTAGACAAGGAAACAGAGTAAACTTTATAACAGATGTAGAGTAGCCTGAAGAACCGGACCATTTAGTAAAGAATGTGTTCCAGGTTTGGTGTTAGGTAGCAGATGTGCTCTGCAGGAAAAATGAAGCGGGTAGTTGTGATTGCCCTTTCCCTTGAAACTTTAGGGCTGCTTCTCACGGAGAAAGTCTTTTATTTCTTGATAGTGCTATCATTTCATTGCATGCTAGCATCTTTTCTGAGAGAAGGTCACAGGCACAGAGAAGTAAACCAAAGTTCAAATTTATGTCTGATACTTTAAAAGTATTACGTTAAGAATAGTTTGATGTGTGAGGCAGTTGAAAGTGGATAAAAATACTCTGTGATCTGTGAGTTTCACGCTCACAGTGTTAAGCAGAGTAAGATGTTCGTACCCAAGGCCTCACAAGATGGAGTGATGGGATACAAGAAGAGCATATGGAAGGTTATGGGGGAAAAGACTAAGCCCCATTAGTGCTTACTATAGATCAATACTAAGATGCATATCATTTGTGAGTAAATGCATACATTCAAAGGTCGTGCCTGAGATGTTTCCAGTGAGGAAGGTGAGCCATTGAAGCAGCTTGAGGCTGCTACAGTAAATTCCCTTTGTAGCAGCCTAAGTAACTGAAAATGATTTGCATTCATTTTTTTTGTTAGTGATTTCTTCAAGGCCCAGCTCTGCTTACACACCCGAGGAAGCCTTCGGTCTAAGCAAAGCCCTCACATGAGTTCCTGCCGTGGTTTAGTTTGGAGTCTTTGGGAGCCACTCTTCTGTGGTTTAGGTCTCTAACATCCTTGACACATAATGGGGGCCTAGGAAGCAATGCCGTCTGAATTCCAGTGCCTGTGGGATGGTGCACTCATTCTGTGGAAAACGAGGAATCGCGTTTTGAAAGAGAAACTATTTAGTGAATATTGTATTTCCATTGTCTCTTGTTTTTATTTTTGTGTGCTTTTAATTTTTGTTTTGTAAAAAATGCATCAAGAAGGCAAAACCACTAAACTCAAAGTTATTCAGTGAATATGTATTGGTTTATAATGCACCTAACATAGTTTTTATACCAAGTATTTGAACACAGAGATGATTTTCTCCTCCCTCCCCTTTCTTCCTGCTCCCCCCCCCCCGCTTTTTTAACTTTCTTCCCACTCCTCTTTTTTTCCCTTCCCACTGGATAGTGTCTTTCTGTGTAACCCAGCTTGTCCTCAAACTCACAGACCTTCTGCCTCCACCTTCCCAGTCCCAAGTGCTAGGATCATAGACATTGTGTTACCACATCTGGCTATTTATGTGTTACAGGAGGTGCATATTATATTATGTCTCACTTTCCACTTTGATTTTCTATTATTAAAAGGACAACTTGCTCCCCAAATAAAGAGAATAAAGCATATTCATCATAGATGAGATTAATAAGGACATATTGTGTACATATGTGCGTAGTTCTAAACGTTATATTGTATTTAGTTTATTTATTTATGTTTGGAGCAGGGTGTTGATTTATAGCCCTGGCTTGCTTAGAACTAGCTAAGTAGACCAGGCTGGCCTCAAACTCACAGAGATCCACCTGTCTCTGCTACCCAAGTGCTGGGATTTAAGGTATGTGCCACCATGCCTGACTAAATTTTTATTTTGGGACAGAGTTAGTGCTAGCTGTCCTGGAGCTCATCATGTAGAGCAGGCTGGCCTCACACTATGAGGGCTAGTATCATAGCTGTGTGTGCCACCACACCCAGCTGAAATTTTTTAATGATGCAAACTTACAAGTAGTTTCTAAAGTTCATTTACAAAATTGTTTATTTAATAAGTAATATACCTTTGATACAAAATATTTTATTTACCTATTTATGTGCCATGTGTAATTATTGTTACTAACATCTTTATTCTATGCACAATAAAAATCTAGGCACAAGAGATGTATGTGTATATAAGAGCGTGCATTTATATGTGTGTACACATATATACTTATGTGTTTTGTTGTTTGGTTTTGAGACAGGGTTTCCCTGTGTATCCCTGGCTGTCCTGGAACTCACTACCAGGCTGGTCTTGAACTCACAGAGATCCTCCTGCCTCTGCTTCTCAAGTGCTGGGATTAAAGTCACGTGCCGCTACCACCCATATATGCATGCAAACATAAAAGTACATCTTCCTTTGTAGGAAATAATTTCCACATTCGGTTCAGTGCCATTATCCATCCCAGTTGCTGAAGGTTTTGTAATTCCCTTGACTAAGGCCATACTTTTAGGTGTTTAAGTTGTTTCTGTTTTGCCACTAGACACAGTACTTTGATACATTGTTTTTAATGTATAGGACTGCATCTCTGGGAAAATTCGTAGAAATAAAATTCTTTAAAAGAGTCAGTAAACTTCAATAAATACTAAATTTATTTTTCTAGCGGTAGTATATGTAAATCACACAATTTCCCTGCTTCCCTGCCAAATCAGCGTGTGGTCAGCTTGGTCAGAATTTCAGTAATAAATTCACCAGTGTAGATTTAGCTTGCAGTTTCCGTATTACCAGTGGAAGCGAGGGCCTTTTCCGTTTATCCAGGAGCATTTATATTTCCCTTACTGCTCACAATTGTTCATGTGTTGTTGGGTCTGTTCGTGATTTGTTGTGTTGGACCTTATTCATCCTCCCATCCCTTTTCACTAGTCAGGATTTTAAAAACGTTTTCAAATTTATGCTTTCTAGATTTGTGATCAGCTTTGCATGGCCTTCTTTATTCTATTTGTCTGTCTGCCTCTCTACCTATCTCTCTCTCTCTCTCTTTCNTCTCTCTCTCTCTCTCTCTCTCTCTCTCTCTCTCTCTCTCTCTCTCTCTCTCTCTCTCTCTCTCTCCATAGCACCCCAGATGATAGTGAATCATAAAGACTTTTAATAAAGATCGTCGCACCTTGTAAATATCCACTGCCTTTGGCAAAAGTGAAAACC